AGTCCCATAAACTGACGTACTCCTTTCACATCTGAGGGTGGTAGCGTACAAAATAAAGCCTTAACTTTCAGCACACTGGGACGGATTGATCCTTCACTTATACTGACACCAAGATATTCAGTTTCTAGCACGAAGAATACACATTTATTGTAGTTTAAGGAGAATCCGTGAGTCGATAGCGCACATAACACTTCCGCCAACAACGGACCAGACTCATCGTAAATTGAGCACTGATTGGAGTCTTTTACTAGTTGACCTCTTTCCATTGCGGCTCTTTCTAATTTAATCTCGAAGTATGGACTCTGGGCTCATGTTTTCAAAACTAGAACACGCATGCTCTTTTCGTTGTCCTACTACATCTTCTTATGACACTTTCAACTGAGCTTCAGCACTTTGTCTTTCTTTTAACACGTTTCTTTCGAATCTTTTTACTGTCTTTGGATTTGACTAGAAGGCACTTTGTAAGTGCCCATTTTTATATCACACGAATCGCATCCCGGACAAGTTCGTCGACTGTTCACTGCACCTGGCATTCGTTTAACATAGGATTGGCGTTAGGGTCTGTATGATACCGATTTGTCATTCTTCAGAAAAATCTGCAATTTTCCTGTTGTGATATAGAAAGACGTCTCTCTCTGCAACAAGTGTTTTATGCTTTTAATTGTAGGCTCGTCCAGTCCTGACCTTTTTTTGTTTATTTGTAGTATCTGTAAACATTTTTGGGATGTGACCTAGATCATGGTATAATTCTGAACCGTGAGCGCTTTTCTTGACGCGTAGATGACCTTGTCAAATAACATCACAACCAATAACTAATAACATTCTGGAATTAGATCATCGGTATTCAACTTATAAACAGAATTTCAAAGTTACGGTCGCCGAAACAGTTATAACCTCGCACGTGCAGATAATATAAACATTTTTCATTCTTAGTCTTAGAATTGATAGATCAGCAGCACTATCATGGAGGTACGCAAAGTCATTGCTTTGTTCTTATAAACTAAAGTAGGAACTGGAAACGTTGCCAAGTCGCTTCCTCATAATGAGTGTAATATTTTCTTAGTTTTCACACTTGTACCAACAATTGTTTGTTACAAGCGTTCTCAATTCTTGCAGCTCTGCGTAAACGTACTTCTCCTTTGATGGTTGTATTATTTTTCTGTTGTTGTCATGCAACACTTGTGTTGATGCTGCAGTTTTGCCACACTTAGCAAGTCATCTAAAGTCACGAGCATTACTATGTTGAACAATGTCTTCGATAGCGTCTGTCTAACTCACTTAACACTTTTAAAAGCTCTTTATTGGGTGTAGATTGTTGTTTATCAATATCTGATTATGGTTTCCACAACAATTCATTATGGGATCAGTGAATAGCAGAGTAATGTCAAAGTCGTTAAGGGATTTACAGTTGCTATTTTTTAACTAGCTGCTACGTAAACTCGTGCACTAGGAATCACAACAAAAAGGTTTTTCGAAAATTTATTCTTGATTTGGCACTGGATTCCAGCCACAGTAGCAATAGCTTCTTCTTTTTAGAGTTTGTGCAGTCTTTGTTATCATTAATACGATACATCACCCACATTAAGTTAATTTTTGAACTTGTGGCAACGTCGATCCACTCTTCTATGAATTGGTATCGTCTGGATTGAATTCGGTCAATCAGCATGATGTTATAACAGAAGCTGAAACTTGCGCACTCGCTACATCTGACATGGAAGATGAACTAGGCGTTGGCTTGGTCGCCATATTGGATTGACAAAATAATATTGGCAATTGCTCCTGTAGCAATATTGATGTTGCTTCTTACTGTGTTTGTTGCACGTTTTTAAATCTGATTCANACTAGTCTCGAATAAAAATTATTTGTTCATTAATCATTATTGATGTAATACTGTACCTAATATTCTCTGAATTATATATATATATATCTAAATTCCGTACAAGTCCTATATCTAAAAAGAGTAAATTTATGCATTTTTACCTATTTAAAACTATTTAATACTATCTTACAGATTTTGGTGTCTTTCTTTCCAGATTAATTTAAGTGATTTAGCACGTTTTGACCTTTTTTTAGTTTTTCCTAAGCTTTTCGGCATTGTGAAATAAACACGCAATAAATAATAAACACAGTAAATATAGTTCACAACACAAAGGTCACTAATAATAATAATAACTAATATATAATAATAACTAATTAATAAAAAAAGTATTAGTACAATACACAACTCACAAACTAGAATAATATTTACGATGTCAAACGACGCAGGACACATCAATATCATAAATGAAATAAAAATGAAATAACCAAACTTCATAAAAACACGGTTCCCGTTTTTTGTGCAAATTGTATGGCGTTTTTTTAAACCTCATTGCCGATGCCGTGTACGAGGACATCTATAATGACATGTTTGCATTATTTAATGTATGCTAATCAGTACCATCTACTGGCGAATGGCTAGATTTTATTAATGGAGAGTTACCGACGAGTAGATTCTCGTCTGAAAATTGGGTTCTCAAATTTATGCAAGAAATTAGGAAAAGGGCATCCAATCGCCATCTAAGAAGTGTTACGACTTTAGCTCTCGTAATCCTGCTCTTAAATTCTACTTCTAGTAGAAATTCTACAGAGTTGGCAACACTGTGCGCGTGCGCCGCATCTGGGCTTACACAGTGCAGGTTGTGGTTGTTTAGATATTTCGTGGAAAAACTCACTTGAAGAAAAACTGGTTTTAATTATTTAGGTCGAGAAAAGAAAACAATATTTATTTTAAAGGAAATAAATATTAAATACGTATATAGGTATTTTGCTAGATTCCCATTCAGGGTATTTATTAATAATTTATATTAAAATTTACATATTAATTAATACTCGCGTTTAATACGTATTTGTCTTGTACCTATAGATATAATTATGAAAATTCATTTTCAAACATATGGGAAGATGGGAAATAGGTATATTAGTTATTTTGACAATTTTTATTTCTCTTTAGTGCTACCTCTTTTTTCTCTGGAAAAAACTCATATTTTTAATAAAATAGGGTAAAAAATAGATAGGCAGATTTTCATATTTTTATACCTATTTAACTTTACTGAATTTTTAGTAACTAAACTGGATTATTGTAATACACCTATCATTAATAATAATGCTAATAGAAATTTGAATTCGTTAAAAAGTGATTGATGTGGGTATGATATAGAGCTACAAAATATGTACGTCATATAAGAAATTATCACGACAGCCGCCTACACAAATATTCCTTACAATTAGGTGCAAGCTGCAATCGTACGAGTTGTAATACGAATGATAATGAATCTAATTTTTTTGTTAATAAAGTTTTGAAGCAGATAAGTGAGAGGTAAAAATTTTAAAATAAATCAGGCTATCTGCTACATAATTTTGAATATATTCAATTTTTGTCAAACAAAAAAGTTGTAGCAAGAAATAACTTAAGAGGATTTCAATCGCCTCCAAGGGGCAGAAATTTTCGAAAGTGTCGAGAAGTTGCACATGCATTAGTAGAAAATTTGTATAAAATTTGACAATTATACCTTTTTTGGTATTCAAATTATAGCCGCTATTCCATATATTTTTTTGAAAACTTTGAGAAGCTGTATCTTCCAAGGGGTACATTTTACCAAGATCATTTTTATATAAAACATTTTCTTTTTAACTGTAGATTCACCGGTACCATTATTGTGGTACTTGTTTTGAAAACACCCTGGATACATACATATATGTATATGACCATGTGGTTAGATTACACAACTCTGTCTTTAATTGGTTGTGTAGAACAGATAATTTAAAAGTCGCGTTTACCAGGGGACAAAGGGTGGTTTTTTTCGATGTGAAGACTGCAGCCTTAAAAGTTCAGGTCTGATGAAGGTAATGTTTATGGGCCTGGAACCAAAAACAATGAAAATAAAAAAGTTATAATCTTAAGAAAGCCTATTTTGTTTTACAACAATGAGATGCCGTGGTCTTCACCCGCGAGGGCTATAAGTTTGCCACGAGTAGATGGCAAAATTTACTACACACGAGATTGTTTACAGGTGAAAAGTAATCCGGAGGACGTGGCCATTGTTTTATTATCAGAGAGGGAATCTTTTGTAATAAGGGGATGCACCGTAATTACCAGCCCTTGATTGGTCAATCGACGCAATGGACCGTTCCACTTCACTGAACGATAAATCCGTTAGAATAACGTATTACTAATGGGGGGCCGGAAAAATTTCAAAAATTTAAAGTATATTTCCAGAGGCGGTCTACCCCTAACGCACCCAGGTTCTCTGAACACGCGGGGGATGGTCGGTTTTTGTTCAAATGCTTCCGGCAAGGGGGGAAACCACATTAGTGGGCCGATTATCAGGCATTCCTCATGAATGTTTTTGAGCAGGACGAATTGACATTATTTTTATCAATATTTTGAACTACATTCACATAATTACAGCAGGCCATGGAATACCGACTAGAACATTGTAATTGGTTCAACAAATGCCACTTGATGCTGATTGAGGCTACTTAGCCAGATTTTTAATAAAAAAAAAACAAAACCATTCTCCAATAAATCACCCACAAAAAAAATCACAGCAGGCGATGGAGCACCAATAACTAAATCACCATAATTATTTTACAAGTACATCTAGAAGATCACTATACACCAAAAAAAACTTCAGTTGAATCATGTGTCTCAAAAAAAATATTAGGGGGGCATCCTAATTCTTACTGGGCCACGAAGATTTAAAACTTAAATCTTGTATTTAAGAAATTATTCTGTGTTAATAAGTTGATAATATTAGAGATGCCGAGGTTTTAAGTGATGCCGAGTCCTTACTCAGCATCACTTAGCTACTTAGTCAAATTTTGAATAAAAAAATCCCTAAAGTGGTTTTGCAAAATGAATTGTACACAGCAATAATCACAGGATCATATGGTATTTATGCAATTCAGCAAGTACATCAGAAGGCTATTACACAAAAAAAAATTCAGAGGGTTGTCCCGATTCTTGGTAGGCCATACTGTATATTAAAAAAAATCCATTATACAAAAATACTGTTCTTCTAATTCTAAAATGTATATTTTCAGTTTAACTACTTTTACAATCAAATACATGAATAAACACTAAATTATATAAAAAAAAATTTGCTAACTCAACAAATCTTTAAAGGAGATACATAACGTTTATCTTGAAACTTAAATGACTTCAAATTAATTGGCTGATCCAATTAGAGGTACAAATACCAATATCTACATTAAAGGAAGCACTTTCGAGATTGTTTAGAAATTGCAGACGAGCAGATAGGTATATAGATTTTTAAATTTTTTTACCTAAAACAAGATCAACTTGACTTTGGTGATAGTCAATTTCATTTAAAAGAGAACGAGCTAGGATGTCCGGAGTAGGTTCCACCTGTAAAAAGTCTGTTATTAAATCTTTAGGATGTTTACCACCTCCATAAGCGAGACATTCATGACGATATTTTTCTCCTTTTTCACGACTGAAAGGATCATTTTCAAAATATGTTTGCCAGATTGAGTACGCTAAAGCCCTCGACACTAAATATGAGTAATATTTTGCTCCGTAACCAACTAAATGACTAAATCTAAGCTGCCATGCAGTATTAGTAATATATGGCAAGCCATAGTAAGATTTCTGGGTTTCGGCTAAAACTTCTGTTGTTGAACCTTTTAACGGATGCTTTCCATGATAGGCCTGATCTATTGCAGCGTAAAATATTTGTAACTGTGTTTCGCTAGCAGTAAATAAGCGTTTAGATGCACACAGTCTTCGTAGCATATCCTCAGATATTGGCTGTTTAGTTTGAAAATGCTTGGCAAATTTTTTTAGTACCCTATGATCAGAAGAAAAGTATTCCATTAGCACAGACGGAACTTCGGCAAAATCAGTACTGCACCTCGTACCAGTTACATGCTGGTATTGAGTACGTGCTAACATTGAATGCATAGCATGGCCCATTTCGTGAAATAAATTATCAACCATATTAGGTGACAATAACGATGGACTCGACCATCTAGGTGTTGGTAAGTTTAACATGAGCACAACGATAGGTAATTGATATGAGCCATCAGCGAGTCTTCGACCACCCCTAATAGTAAAATGACAGTCTTGATTCGATTTTCCAGTTCGTTCATAAAAATCACAGTAAATATAACCTAGCAGTCCTTCAGTTTCGTGTATAACCGACAACTTGTACACATCAGAGTTCCAAACTTCTCCACCTGAAACTTCTGTATTAATAAGCTGAATTCCATATAATGATTGAAACAGTAAATTCAACCCATCCATACAAGCACCTAAAGAAAAATAAGGTGAATATTCTTTAGATGATACTCTAAACCAATCTTTTTTCGCCTTTTGGGTAAAATATGGAACATCCCAGGAACCTAAAGGAGTAAATAAATAGTTTTCCACTTTCTTCATGTTTTCCATGCATTCAAAATCAAGTTTCGCCTTGTACCATATGCCTTGAGATAATTTATACAAAAAAGTCTTCACTTTGGTCGGATCATCAACTGTAGCTCCACGCAGTGCTCTGTCTGCATATGAAGAAAATCCACAAATTTCCGCTAACTCATGCCTTGCCGTAAGTAATTCATTTAGAATTAAGTCCTGATTAGTATCTGGATAAAGAAAAATCCTGTATGCCATTTCACGAGCTGTAGGGTTTAAGGAGTCGGTATATAAACCAGAAACTATTATTTCATCATTATCACTAACAAATCTGTAAAAAAAAGTGTAAATAAACAAAATAATAATTAAATATATATCCTACCTAAGGCTTTAGCCATAAAATGTAGAAAGCATAACTTGCCTTAAAATATTATAAATAGAAAAAAATTATTATAAAAACATCAATGTAACAGTTTTGTTTTCAAAGCAAGAAAGTACTGAAATTAGTCTCTTTTATTTAAGTTTCCATTGCAAATTATTTTTTATTAACAATTATGATAGATAACTACTTAAAGCATTTATAAAAATGTACAATCTTGTTGCATGTTGCTAGGATTACTTAATGTTTTTGATATATGTACATAGTAAAAATTTTATAGTACTAATTTATGATATAATAATAGTAATAATGTAAAGTAAGTAAACATTTTATCTATGAGTGGAAGAACAATTATTTGCACGGCTATTATCAAAGGTTATTTGCAAACCATATTTTTCTATTCATTTTTGACAGCCTCTATCTGGAAATTGTTTGTGGACAAATAATAAATATTATTATTTATATGAATATAATTTTTTTTGTAAATTTGTGACTGATCAAGAATGTCAGGGTGACAGTATCATATAACTTTTGAAAAATCCTATAACTGCTAAAAAAGGACTAAAGAAACACCAGATTGGGGGTAGTTTTGGTCCGTTGCAGGGGGTTGCGAGGGTTGGGGAGGGTCCTGATCAATGGATTTGTGATCAGCACCTTTGAAAACAAGAGGGTTTGGATTTGTAGCTGCAATAAATACTTTCCAAAATAAGCCATTTTTGCATTCTTTCAGTATACTAACAGTTAGATGCAATCTCATTTGATTCGAAGCAATGAATTTTGAACCTTATGTAAGCATTATATCAGAATGCGCATGCGTCTTACTGCTGCAATCTGTTTTGGATTGCTCTAGGAACAAAATAAACTGCTCTAACATCACGTTTTACTATTAATATATTCGTACAATGCATCGCATAATTAGATACACAAGGGTGTCTTTTATAACACAACCATTTCTATTTAAGATAAAATGGCCACATCCGAATCAGCTTATTTCTATTTGTGGTTGTCTAAGTGTCTTGCATACATCGCAGATACGACTTGTCAATATCTAGCAATATGCAACAGCTAATAAAAATGATGAATGATAAGTGTGCAAATTAATAACCCAATTTTATAAAGTCTACCTACACATCTCTGACATTATTTGGTAACAGACTTTTCTTAACCATTCTAGGGCTGGCCGTTCCAGAAACAAATTGGTGTCCAAGATTAAGTATGGCATCATTCAAAGATACAATTCTGTTTCTTTCCCATTCTGATAAATGAATACCACACTGTTCAAAATCAAAAAGAAATAATTTACCTACATGCTTGTCAATTGTTGTAGTTGCTTTTATGTCACCACATAATACTGAATGCTTTAGCGCGTTATACAGATCCACATTTGTATTTAATCTGAAAAATAATATAAATTACCTACCTAATTAAAATAGTTCTAAATAACATGAACATTTTTTATACTTACTTTTCAACAATTCCGCTAACTGCACAGCAAGCTTCTTCTGCAGCTCGACTATATTTTGCTTCCGGATGAGCTAAGCGAATAAATTCTGCTAAATCCGCTACTTGACATAAGGAATCTGACATATCATCAAATATTTCTACCATCTTCCTATGTCTTGATGCATTTAAAGCCTCATTTATTAAACTGTCTGTCTTTGAAATACATTGATCTCTTAATGATTGAAATCCTTCACACGCTTTCAACTCGTTAACACCAAATAAACCCTTAAATAAATAAATGGATACTTACACAATTAGGTACACACATTTCTAAGAACTTACTACATCTTGTCTTCGGAAATTAAATTTCTGCATTGGTCTTGTATTAAATGCCTCCGCTAACGGGGACCAAATTGATACATTCGATTTTAATACTGCACTTAATGTACACCACATTTTCTGTGATACAATTTGTTTTTTGAATATCATTGTTATGACAATTCACAAAATCAAACCACTCGGTGTTTAGTAATTTATGAAAGCTTAAATGGAATTTTACTAATTATTTATAACATAACCTATATTCCACATTCTTCGCTTAACATTTTTCTTCTTCATATCATCATCACATACTAACAACAGTAACAACTCTACCTAATCTATGATACTAACTTCACAGCTTAATATGAGCTGTGCTAACTTGTCTCTGTACTAACACTAACTAATACAATAATAACAATAACTTCATAGCTGTGCTGTGGTTTACAGAATTATTTGCATAAAGGTCCATTTTGAAGAAGTAGAAAAATACTTACTAAATATTATAAATAAATGAACTGTGACGATGGCTAAATGTCCAATGGGCGAAGGCCATAGAAAATATAGTACCTACCTACTATATTTTCTATGGCGAAGGCCAATTAAAGAAGTATTTCAGGTATGATCGGACAAAAAAACAAATAAGAGGTGGTTTTTCTCTACAAATTATTGTCAACGCCAGAATGCGACTCCTAAAAACTGTTTATAGATGGCTCAGAGCTGGCCTCAATTATTTTGAATGCTGATTGTTTCGTTGAATCTACATCCAAAATACCTATACACGATATTGCTATTGCAAGAAAAAAAAACAGGGAAATTAATTGTATCGTGGAAAGGTTGTGACTCCCAAAATCCACCTTTCTTGCGTGCACCTTTAAATTAAGGCAAATGACTAGGTACTGTAACTAAAGAAAAAGTCGAAATCAGGTTATCCAGAAATCGGAAAATATAATATATTGTTTGTATAATTTAGTTCTTTGCGAACTTTATTGTGAAATGATGCAGTTCCATTTCTTAATGAGATATCGTTTATCTGAAAACATGGTGACCTCCAGTCAGGTCAATCATTGATTACTATAAGAGTGGACTTATTTATTTATGTAAATTTAGTAAGTTTCACACTGAAAAACAAAGCACATCGTCTATGTTAGATAATAGTGAAGAAATATTGCTTAATCGTACAAAAAGGTAAGAAATTAAATTATGTTTTGTTTTTGTATTGTATACCTACTCTCTCTCTCTCTCTATATATATATATATTTCTCTAATCTATGCAGAATATCAACAATATACAATGATTAGAATGTTTATTTATAGTATAGCTGGTATAACGTACTGTATTGGATAGGAGTACCGCTGTCGATGTCTGTTAACATGACTGCCCCCCCATTCATTTATTTTTTATTTTATTTTAGAGAAATCATTTTGTTATATGTATAAGTTATTTATTTTAATCGCCTGGTACAAATATTTTTGTTGGTACAGAATTTGCGCATGAACAGGATGATGCAAACAGGTGTGCTACGTCGGCTCTTACGAAATGCCGTTCTCATTTTTTGTGCCTCAGCCGCCCTGTTAGTAACGTTTCGTTCGGATAATTGTGACGCACTAGCGGTAACACTAACAACCAGTAAGAGACCGTCCCAGTTTACATCAACTCTAGCAAAAAAGCAAAGAGCTGGTAGCAGTGGCAAAACTATGGACCCAGCATTTGAGGATGCCGGCCAGGAAGCTGGTATTGAGATATGGAGAATAGAGGTAAGAAAGAAAAGTTATAAAAATATACAGTGATCGAAAGTTTGTGGTAATTCTAAAACTTCACGTTTCAGTTTTAAAATATTAATTTCTCTTTTTAATCAGTTATAAAATGTTCCTATTAAAAATATTTAATCTTAAAGGTCGTTAGAGTGAAAACTATAGGCTTTTTACTCTCGCACTTACTGAACGTTAGAATTATGAAAACTTCTACTTTAGAAAAGAATATAGGTACATATATATTCATAACAGTAAAATATTGGGAGAGCTGCGTTTGTTCATGTTGCCTGTAGCCTGTGTATTTTATCGATTTTCTCTGTTCCATTTGGATCAATTTTATTCATGTAAAAATTTTATTGTTTATCTCTAGGAAAAGGGAAATAGGATTTTTATATAGGTACGTAAATTCCATTTAAACCGTTGACAAAAATTACGTGTAAATTAATTATACATATATTTAATTTATTCGATAAATATTAGTTTATCGATTGTACATAATAATTATACTACCTCTACTGGTATTGCTGATTAGCTGATTCAGACACCACTCGCGAATACCGCATGTGTGATGCCACTTTAATACATAGCAAAAGAACAAACCAAATAATATAACACTAAATAATTCGCTCCATTTCGATTAACCCATTGGCTTTTTCTATGCAATTATAACATTTTTTATTTTTATAATTTCTTGTCCAGTCATCTTGCAAATACCTACCTAATTTTAGGTCTGTTCCAACAAGAGTCAGGGATGGTTCCGAACCGTTTGAAATGTTTGGCCAGCTAAGTTCTAAATGTGTCTTCAGTGAATATATCACAAGAATTAGTTGGTGCACATTTCTGACGGTTTGGAACCAATCCCTGACTCTTGTTGGAACAGACCTGTTATTTTCTAAATCCTATCAAGTACAAAGCCTATTATATACCTATTCTAAATCTATACACAGGAAGTTTGGAGATCTTGGACGCTTTAAGTTTTACCCAAAGAGAATAACCTTAAATTACGCCTTTATTGGGGGGCGTTTGCATATTGTTTTTATTTTTATACCTGTATTGTATAGTACCTACCTAAACATTTAATGCTGGAAACCGGGCCGGTAGCGCGGGGTGGTAGACGCACAGGTTTAAATGATGGCGTTCACACTTATCTCGTTCCAATGAACTGCCGGATCCTGCTGCAACTTTTTGGTAACATTTAAAAAAATTTCTTGTATGTACCGAAAATCTTCTTGACAGAGGTTGCCGCAAATAACTATTTTTGTGATTCTATTGTATTTAATTGTGACATATAATCCAGTATTGGATAAACTTATACAGTTAGGCACATTTTTATGATGAGCTAATCTAAAATAATTAGATATGAAATATTCAGTATTTTATAAAAATCCTGCATTTGCATGATTAAGAATAGAATTATAATATGTGTAAAATAGGTTACTGATATCGAAACTTGCTCATTAAAATTTGTTAACTTATAAATATATTACATATAAAAAATTAGCATTAATAGAGTTGATAACGTTTAGTCGTTGATAGTGATAAACCAAATACCTACTTATAATCTCTTGTGCGCAATGCGCAGTTTCGTGTATTTATATAAACATTTATGTACACCACAAATATAATGATAAAAAGTTTTGAAATTTTGTAGTCATTTTATGATTAGGTCTTAATTTTAAACAAGTTGATAAATATTATTTATGATCGAATACGTTTACTGTTCGTAAATAATGTAGGTACTGCTATATACTTTTATATATCTGTTATAGATGGTAAATCGATAACATATTTACATTTTTGTTTTATGATTTTTTTCTCTGAAGCGACTGATTAACTTCCGAGAAAATTTTATCGATAATGCTATGAACTGTACCATAAATTTGTGATCGTTTTATTTTTGTTATCACATTTAAATTTAAATGAGACTAATTGTCACTGTGAGAGGAGATTATAGTCCTTGAAATAGAAAAATGCGTTCTTACTTTTATATTTATTGCCAAGAGTAAACAAAAATCTGAAATATTTGGTATTTTTATGTAGAGAGATATAAGAATATACCTATGTTAATGATAAGTCTTGCCAGACTTTAATGGCGTATTCTACCGATGAAAATAATCAAATTTTGCCCTATACAAATTTTTGATAGGACACTTCCCTACGGAGAAACGCGTATTAAAAGTTTCAAATATTTATATTATTTTTCCTATAACTTCACTTGCATAAAAGATTTACAGATAAAATTTGGGGGATGATATTTTTTTAATGGAGACTATTTTTTCATGGATAACTTATTCCAAAATACACTCCAGTGGCGTAGTTACTGGGGGAGTAGGGGATTACGTACGCCACTGGTTTTTTAAATAATTTTCAATGTTTTTAAAATGTACAATCAATTTGTAGCAATAAAGTATACGTAAAATTTACTGCTCTTTAGATAATTGGGAAATCAAATAAGAACATACTTAAGTACATACGTTGCTATTTGCCAGTTTCTATTGATTGCTAAATGTGTAACAATAAATTCAATACCTAATATTTTTGAGAGATTTCAAAACACTATACATCACAAGAAATGTTCAAAATGCTGTCCTTGGGATGCAATGCATGCTGCGCAGCGTCTCCGCATTGATCGTCTTGCACGCCTCATAATTCCAGCCGTATTGTTAAAATTGTTATAATTAATTAAGTAAAACGTAAACAAACCATCATTTTCCGTAAAAAAATTAAAAAACTATGCATCAATCATCGTACATTGGATAAATGAATTTCATTTTCAACGTATCCATATGGATACGTTGAAAATGAATATATTCAACGTGGTATATATATACCACGTTGAAAATGAAAACACATAATAATATTATATTGTGAAAATTTATCCAATGTACGATGATTTTATTTATTTTTTTTGATCAAACTAAAATTCTTGTCAGAGAACCAAATTATAACAAAAGATTAATCCAAGAAATGATTCAAATAAAAAAAAAATAAAAACAGTATTAACGACAAAACTGACATTAAAAACTTAAGTCAAATATATCATAATTTAATCAAATAATAATAATAATTACGTTTTAGTTATTTCCACTTATTATCATATAAACAAATAACATTTAAAATAGTTTTCTACACATTTAAAATATAATTTCTAATAAAATTACTAGATGTCCTTTCTGTTTTTAATTTACAAAAAAAAAAAATTCACCGCTAAGCGTACTACCTGTTTTCGATTTTATCATAATTATATCGCTCATTTCATTTCCAACGTATCCACGTGCCTATTAAAAATATTTTCCTGGTACGCTTACAACATTTAAAAAATGCAAGCTTTTTTCAAATTTAAAATGAAAAAGCACAATATTATATTGTGAAAAATTTGTCCAATATAAGATGACTTATGCATAGTTTTTAAAAATTTGCATAAGTCACCTGCACCTATTCGTCCTATACGTCTCATTTAGGTAATTGCGCACATTGAGCGAGTAATGTGGAGGAGCTCCGTCTTGCTGGAAAATCAGTTCGTGTTCATTGTAAGTAGGGTCGTCCTCTATGATATTTGTTAGAGCTGGGTCGATGACATTTTGTAGTAAATCCAAGAACATATCGCCTGTCAAATTTCCAGGAAGGAAAAAAGGACCTACAATGGAATTTCCAAAAATACCTGCCCATACATTCAACTTCTGGGGGTGTTGGGAGTGTGTCTCATGGAAAATCCTTGGATTGGTATCAGCCCAGTAACGACAATTATGGCGATTCACTAAACCGTTCAAGAAGAACGTACACTCGTCCGAAAAACACACATTAAAGAGGAAATTATCGTTTATCGCTCGTTCAGTCATTATTTCGCAAAATTGCAAACGACGATCAAAATCGTCTTCATTTAGCTCTTGCACTAGCCGAATCTTATAAGGATATGGAATTTGTATTATTTTAATATTCGTTGGACACTTGTACGACTCATTCCTATCGCAGTAGCCAATTGCATTGTACTCGGCGTACTATCTATTGCCACTTGCCCCAATACCGCTATTTCCGTAGGTTCATTTAGTACCGGTTTTTCAACCTGCCTCTTTTTGTTATGAACGGAGCCAGTTTCGCGAAATTTGGCCACCAATTCGCGAACAATTTTTCCAGACGCATGTTTCTCAGGATGCCGTTGGTTGAACAGTTCGGCGACCCGATTTCTGCATTCATTGTTTTTGAAAAAAAGCTCAATAATTTCTACTCTTTCTGGAATTGAGTACACCATAATTAATCAATTTAAAAGACTCGGCAGTATTGGTACTCTTCAACTACAAGTCACAAGACAGTTATCTAGCAACTTCTTGTGGTCTATCTAAATACGAAACAAAAAGCGGACAATTTTTTGCTCACCAAAATCAGGCTAAAGAATTCGCAAATCAGAAAAAAACCCAGCGAATTCCTTTGAAGGAATTTACCAAGCTAATACCGTAAGTTTTGAAGTAAAATTAAATCGATTTTCGTATTTTTCAGTAAGAATCGATGTATAGAGAATTAAAAGCCCTTTCTAATGACCCCCCACCTGACCCCCATTCCCATTTAAAAAATTTGGGGGATGGCACTCCCACTTAGGGGGTTGAAGATTTTGCTATGCTTTTTGCGCCAAAAGTTGTCCCCCTCAGAAGCAAAGTTTACCTGTTTTTGGATTTTGCCGAAAAGTTTATTACTACCCTGTAATGCCTAATGCGGTACGTTTTCGATGGGCTACCCTGTATATATATATCAACATTTTGATGTGATGAATTCTGTACACCCAATCAAAGACTAGAATATAATATATAATTAGATATAGAATTTATTGGGACAATTCATCACATCAAAATGAATAAAAGAACGCGACCTTTCTTATTTGAGAGTTATTTATATAAATCTCCACGGGTGCCCAGAAGTAAGTTCCAAAATTTTAGACTTTAGACTTTTAGACTTTTATATAGGTACTATATAAAAAAAACGACAGGTTTTCACTTGGCTCTTAACAAACAATAATTCTTGGAAATAACTTTATAAAAATACAATATATGAGTTTTTATATTTTTGGATATTGATATGGAATGACGCAAAATGTAGTTTGGCGTAAATAAAAAATACGTGAAACGTGAGCTTAAATTTTATAAGTAATTTTTACGACTAATTATGAGTGATTATTTTTAGTGTGAATTAGGTATATTAAGAATTATGTACATCCATGTAGAAGCATAGAGAAATTAGTCCCAAAATTTTAACCACTTAGTTAACCCATCAAAAGCCACTTTCGTCCAATATTTTTTTCCGAAAACACTTGTTTTATAAGGTAAGATAAACTAATAAAATATATCTTTTTAAATAAATTAGTATCCTCATTACTGAGAGGAGGATACTTAATTCTTAACAAAAACCTAAGGCTTTCGGAAATATACATTTTTATTTCTGTGAAAAAGTTTTTAGTCGATAATTTTATTGTTCGACTAAATTTTACTTAAATACGTTTGATAGCTATTAAACATGAAAAATAGTGACATCCAGAGGATATTGTATGGTCAACACTATAATATGTCCCTGGAAAATGCGGTGGGATATCTGGAGAAGATCCTGATTTTTAACGTAACGTAAGATATCCCTCGAAAGTCCTATAGTTACTCATAGTCAGAACCGTGCACACCTGGGATCTGGGACATACGGATATGTCCCACATCAGATATCCTAAGGCAGTCTTTTTCAATGGCGGACCCCTAGCATTACTTTACAATGATCCGCGGACCCATAAAAAAAAAAGAAAAAAAACACTTTCAATAATCATACTTTTATTTGCAATGTTGTCAAGGGTCTATTTTGCTCCTCTCATAAGTGTATTTATGTTTATTTAATTTTAATGAGATGGTTGATGTTACCTTTTCGCGACCAAAGTCGTAATGTTAGGGTTGATGTTGCTTGGTTGGATCCTTAAATCTGCCTCTACTTGTAGCCTATTTCTGTATTTATTTTTTACATACACAAGAGTGGAAAAACCCTTTTCGCACAAATAAGTTGTGGGGAAAGGTAACAACTGCTTCAGCGCCAATTCCGATAACTCCTTATAATCAGATTTTTAATTTAGCCAAAATTTGTTGACGTACATTCTTTGAATGTTCTTTTTAAAATTGAATCACAACTTATTTTTTCGTTGTTCAATTAATTGGTTTTCCTGGGTAGATGACGGGTCTGTGACATCTGTAACATTTACATGAAATGGGTCCATAATCCAATTTTCACTGTGGTTTGGGTTTGGAAAATAATCCCGAAATGAGGACTTCAAAGCTCGAAGGTGCTCAATGATTAATTCTTGAGTTTCCTTTTGCAACATAGTCCCGCCAGTTGATAACAAATATGACGAAAGAGTAGGAAAATGATCAAAATTATCTTGAAGTGACCGATTTATCCATAAATCAAGTTCCGCTTCCACTTTTTCTTCAGCAATGAAGATATTGATATCATCTGTACCTTGTAAGCCTAAATTTAGCATATTTAAAGCGCTAAAGATGTCAGCTAAGTAAAGCTACCATGCAAAGCCATTTAAAATCATGAAAGTGATAGTGTACTTCTGACGTTGCCTGTTTTGTCCGAATTAAAAAAAAAACATTACGATTTCGTCTCAACTCAAAAACACGAGTCACAACTTTTCCACGAGGTAACCAGCGCACCTCCGCGTGCAATAGCAGCTGTGTATGAATGCTTCCAATGTCTTCACAAATCACACGAAAAATGCGGGAATTTAAAGGCCTAGCTTTTATAAAATTCACCACCTGTATAATGTCCACAACAGCTTTTAATTTAGCCGGCATATTTTTAGCAACTAAAGCTTCCTTATCATAGATAAGATATACTATTTAAGAAATTCCTTATGAATGCAGCAATGATGCCAGATGATTGATGGGTTTATTGCATTGACACGACCTTGAAGTCCTTTTTGCATTCCTGTCATAGCACATGCGCCGTCTGTGCTTACTGCCACACAATTATCCCACTTAATATTATGAATCGATAAAAAGTTGTTCAAAACTTCAAATATCGCTTCACCTGTAGTATTCGTATGGAGATGTTGATAGAACAAAATTGATTGATGCTGTTGTCATGCTTGTAACGGACAAATGCCAGTGCTCTCATCTAATTGCATAACATAATATCGGCTTGCTTTTACATTCTCAATCAACTGTTCTTTGATATTTTCTGACATGTCATCAATTCTTTTTTCTACCGTATTATTAGATAAGGATATTATATTTAATTCCTTTGCAGCTTTATCTCCCAACATAGCAGAAACCATGATTTTAGCGGCCGGTAATGTAAGTTTCTCAGCAATGGTATGAGGCTTGCCACTTTTTGCAACCAATAATGATACCTACTTGATAGGAAGCTAATACATTTTCATTGTTAGTTCCAATAGCTAACTTTTTTATGGCTCTTTTAGTTCGTTCTTGTTCATATACATCGTTGGATTCAGAAAATAAATCTGCACAATAATAAATAACAAAAAAACTATATTGCCATTTGAAAAAGAAAAGTTGACCATCACTTTTCAAAAAAAAAAAAAAAATAGTAAATGAACTCTAATAGGCTTGCTTTATAGTGTATTTAGAGCCATTTCATTTAATTTTTTGTTTTTTAAAATAAGACTTTAAATAACGGAGTTATGGCTTGCGGCGTTTTTTAGGAGACATACGTGATAGATATAGGGAGAGACAGATATAGAGATCTGATAGGAAAGCAACTGGAGATGGTCTTGAAATTTAAATATTTTTGAAAAAAAAAATCGACACACCCGAAGGGTTGTTTGGACGTGAAACCTAATAAAGTACCTAATAATAATTGACATAGTAGGGTTTTAATTGGCATTCATGCGTATTGATTACTTTACTGTAATTTATATAAAATCAAGTGGGTGTTAAAAAGTAATAAACTAAATCCCACTGATTTAAAAATAATTTTATAGTGTTGCCAGAAAACCAGAATTCCATTAATTCGTGAAAATAAAACGATGATATATCGGCTGTTTTTGTTTACCGTTAATTATCTATTTCAACACCGAATTAAGGAGAAAGCGTTTATGGATTAGAACAACGTTAATTTTGTTATTGTTTCAGGACTTCAAGCCAGTGCCGTATCCCAAAAATCAATATGGCAAATTATATACGGGAGATTCTTACATTGTGTTAGCTGTAAGTTACGTGTGACTGTTTAGTAAAAACACGCATTACAATTAAAATTATTTTTAGACAAAAGTACGAAAAGATGGTTCAAAAAGCTATGATCTCCATTTTTGGTTAGGGGCAGAAACTACCCAGGTGAATATATTTAATTTATTATTTCATACAGGTTTTTTAAATTCCATAAAATTCCATAAAAAATAATTTATTGCCCATAGATTTAAAAATAACCAAAGGAAAATTTTGTTAATTTTCTGGGTTTGACTTCATTATTTTTAGGACGAAGCTGGTTCGGCAGCAATTTTAACAGTACAATTAGACGAAGTTTTGAATGGAGCACCCATTCAACATCGCGAAATACAAGATCATGAATCCCAACTGTTCTTATCACACTTTAAGAATGGTGGTGTGCGCTATCTTCCTGGAGGCGTTAGCTCTGGCTTTCAACATGTAGATCCTAATGCTTTCGAGAAACGTTTATTCCAAGTCAAAGGCTCAAGAAATATTCGTGTCAAACAAGTTATACCATCTATTGCTTCTATGAATAATGGGGACTGTTTCATCCTTGATATGGGAAGAAAAATTTATGTTTATGTTGGTTCTAAAGCGAGACGAGTTGAGAAACTTAAAGCTATTAATGCAGCTAATCAAATTAGAGATCAGGACCATGCTGGAAAAGCAAAAGTTATCATTATCGGTAGGACTTGATTCTTTGAATGTATTAATAACGCAATTATAAATCTACTTACGCGTTCATTCTATAACATTTTCAATTACATATTTAACGTTATTTGTCTTAAAGATGGTTGGTAGAAAATTGAAATTGACTAATTTTGTAGATGAATTTGGTCCAGAGAGTGATTATGAGGAGTTCTTTGAAGCTTTGGGTGAAGGATCTAAAGATGAAGTTCCAGAAGAAAGTGCAGGAGGCGATGATGATGATTTTGAGTTAACAGAAGAAAACCAAGTGTCTTTATATCGTGTCTCGGACAATTCTGGTGCAATTCATATTGAAAAGGTTGCTCAAAAACCTTTAGAAGCTTCGATACTGGATTCTAATGATTGTTATATTTTGGACACTACAGATGCTGATTTATATGTTTGGATCGGTAAACAATGTGATGAAAAAGAAAGAAAGGAAGCTTTGCGAAAAGCTGATGAATTTGTTACATCCAAAAATTATCCTTCATGGACACATGTACAGAGGATTATTCAGGGAGCTGAGCCTACTGCTTTCACCCAATACTTTAGGTGAGAAATTACAATTTTTCAAACATTACAATGCGTTTTTTTTTTTTATTTATAGGTCATGGCAAGCTCATGGTGAACTTCATCCTCGTCTGTTCCGTTCAGTCAGCAGAGAGGGTCATCTATATCACTGCCAAATTCGTGCTAAAGGAAATAGATTCAAGTTGGAAACTATCGAAGATCATGAACAAGCAGATCTTAATGATGATGATATCATGATTATGGATGTAGGAGATGAAGTTTATGTCTGGATTGGCAAAGGAGCAACAGAGAGAGAAATAGAAAAGGGGCCCGTATTTGCCGAGGTGAAAAATTATATATTTTTTGCAACATATATATAAAAAATTGTTCTATTGTAGCGATTCTTGAAACGTCAAGGGCGAGAAGATATTCCAGTAATAGTTGTAAATCAAGGTGAAGAACCCTTTGAGTTTACTGGTCTTTTTCCATCTTGGGATCCTGAATTTTGGGATAATTTACCAGACGTTAGGGACTTTATTAAGAATGAAGATACAGATGAAGACTGAAAATGTTGTTAAACATTTTTTCTTTGTTAAAATTACTGTTTTATATAGGAACCTACTAATAATTTTTAACACTAAAAGCTTGTTTGTTTAGAATTCTTTAAGTTGGTGATTTTTTAAAGTGTCTTTATTATAAATAAATAATAATAATAACAATAAGAATATAATTGTAATTATTCTTTTTTATAAGTGATCTTAAAAAATTTCCTATATATATACAGGGTGTTTCATTTCCGGTGTGCCAAACGAACACAGATTATAGTGAAGGTAATTTTGAGTAAAAATGTTCATATCGACATATGTCCGAAAACGGCCCCCCTGTGGCGCTACGCCTCTTTCAAGGGGGCCATTAAGACACTAAATTTTTAATTACTCTCCACCTGAATTTTTTCAGAATTTTCAGAGGCCTAAACATTTTTGAGAAAATCGACGTACTATACAGGGTGTTTATTAATTGAATGCCGATACTTAAGGGTGTGAATCTTTGGGTCATTTTAAGAAGAAACCTTAATATCAACATATGTTCTAAACCTCTTAATTTTTGAGCTACAGGGTGTTACAGTTTTAAGAACAAATTTCCTTTTTTATTATAATTTTCTTATCACTCCAGATATTTTTATGAAATTTTGTACACACCTATTAATCATTAAGGAGCATTGTTTGATGTAAAAAATGTTTTAAAATCTTTGCCAATGACGTCCGTACGAGGTTTGGATTAAACATTTTTGAAGAAAGAAATAGTACGCCACTGCTTTTTCTAAAAACTAAAATTATTTTTAAAATCTCCATTTATTTTACAGCAAATTCGGTCCCTAGACTTACTCTTGTACGACGCACCATTTGCACGTAAAAAAATGAAAATCAAAAAAAGCTTTTTCCCCAAGTTCATTGAGACTGCTTTTGATATTTTGTTGCCATTTTGTAGACACCCACCATG